ACACACAGAGGCAAAATTTATCCATAAACCATGATACTTAAAAATCAAGGTTTTTTCAAGCCCCCTAAAATTCAACAACAGACCTCAGATTAGGAGTTACTGATCTGGAAAGTTATAAAACTAAGAAACAGAAAACAGGGATGACTTAGTTAAAGAATACTCTGGTGGTACTGAATCATATGATCATCTGCCCCAGAGGCAATTACTCTTTCATTCAATAGAAAATCATCCCTTACGATATATTTCCAATAGTTCTAATAAAAATTTTATTTAAAAAAGAAATTTATATTTGAAATATACCTTTTACACACAATTAACTTTATAACTTCCACCCATAATAACAAAGCACTTATTATTATTATTAAACTATTAAACCCACAGCTTTTAGGATGGTGCCTACCCACACAGTAAGTATTTAGTATCTTTTGGAGGGATAAATAATTTATACTTTTACTTAAACTCAAGACATCCTGGTAGTCAAAGTACTGCTAGGCAAGCCCATTATAACATCTAAATTAACCTTAGACGGCAACTTACTTACAAGGAACTTAGATACCAACCTTTAATTACGTACTTCATCAATTTGAAAACAGTGACAAAACAATCTCAACACAGTATTTGTTTTTAGAATAAATATTAACAGTACTTAAAACAGATCTGCCTTTAAAATAAACACCTAGAAATTAGATTAACATCTATTAAATAAAAATGCCCTTTTGTAGCCGGTCAATGTGGCACTTCTAGCTACAAAATACTTTAGTAGTCCTAGCTACAAAGTACTTTAGCACTCCTAGCTACAAAGCTTCATTTCCTTAGACAAGAGAAATAAGCGAATTTCAGAACTTGTCATACATTAACAGGTAGTCCTAAGCACATCAAATTGCTCTCCATAAAGAAAGCCAGAGATAGAGTGGAAAATGAAGTTTCAACTTGTGTAAAACTCAATTCCTTGTAATACAAAATGATATCTTTTCAAAAGTAAATGATTTGGGGTCAAAATAACAAAAGCACAAAGACACATGGGGAGAGTTAAGACTTCTTATAATGTAAACCAGCAAAAGCATTTAATATAATCTTGATCTGATATACATGTCATTTTTAAAGAAGTATCTAACTGAAATGAGTAAATATATTTTTGGAAAGTATGTTCAGGAACTGTAGATGAGCCAGTTAAATATTCTTATATTGCTCCAGCAAGCTGCAATATTGCTACATCCAAGCAACAGTGACAGAATCATTCTGGTTCTTCTAAATTACAGAGAAGGGGAGATTGCCATCTACATTTGACAAAATGATCTCTTACCAAGATTAAGAAAGGACAATTGCCTAAATCCTTCTTAGAAAAATCTGTGTTTTGTTTAACCTTTTTGTTTTGTTTATGGGCCACTCCCAGCAGAGCTCAAGGCTTACTCCTGGCTTTCCTCAGGTGTAGAGTTAGGGCTGAACTCAGGTTGGCTGCATGCAAGGCAGCCTGCTTTTTAAGCCCCTGAAATTAAAAAGCTATATTAATTCCTTAATTGGCTGGTTCATAATAGTTGTCACACAGCTTTCTTAATAGAGTGCCAGGTAATAGTGCTTCTACTCCAATCAGCTCATTACCTAATTAACATGTACAGAAATGCCATCTCCCAAGTAGAGCAGCATGCAAAAAAAACTATCCTATCACCTAATCTGCTGTTTTACATCTTTAAGATAAGGAGAATGGAAAGACAGATTTTCAGAAAGATGAAGGCTTTCTTCCCTAGTTTTTTCCCTGCTGCTTGGAATATGAATACAAAAATGAAAACATTATTAGTCATATTCAACCATAAGATAAACCACAAAAGGAAAAAAATGCTTGAAAACTCAATGATCTATCGAGTAGTGTGTCAGCCTTGGGCTAACTCTGTATGCACATTTTTTAGTAAAAGACGAATTTAAATTTATGAATTCCAAAACTTTAACACTACATTCATAAGATTTTAAAATCTCAGTACAAACATTGCTTCCCTTACTAACAAAATCAGACTATTTCTAGAGGTCTGGGAAAGAACTCAAAAGATCAGTGTGCTTGCTTTGTATGCTGAAGGCCTAGGTTGAATCCCTGGCACTTCATGGTTCACCAAGCACCTTACCAGGAGTAACTCCTGAGTACTGTTGGGGGTGGCCGAAAATAAAATGACTATGTATTAGAACTAGCCATCAAGAGTTTATAAATATATATACATATATATGTACACACACACACACATATATATTTGGGGTAACACAGCTTTATACACACACACACAATAGTCTATAAAGACTCAGGCTACTCCATTGTGCAGTTTGGGTACTACTGCCTTACAGATTTAAATCTTGAATACTGAGACTTATAGCTGATTCTGTATCAAACTGATACTGCATACAAGTCCATAAGAAAAACACCAGGAAAGTTAGATCAAACTCAATCTCTTTATAGCTACAATCTAGTTACTATTGCATTAGTTTAAGACCTTCAAATAGACAATTTTTAAATATTACTCTGCTGTATTTCACTTGTTTGTGAGTCACACTTGTTGTAGTCCTGAGGGTTATTCCTGGCCTGGATGCTCAGGCCAACCATGCAGAATGTCTGAACCTGGGGTTCTTGCATGCAAAGCATGAGCTCCTGCCCTTTGCACGATCTCCTATGTAATATATTATTAAAATAAAGAGCACTTTAATTTTCATGTTTTACAAAAGACTAATAGTTTGGCTTTTTTTTTCATTTTCCCCTTTCATTTGCTGTTCTCATCGTTGTGGTGCAAGAGGTCCCACAATGTTTGTGGTAGTCACTGAAAGTCACACACTTAGGTTGCATACTTGGATGTGTTGCTCACCAAGGACTGTTCATTTGATGCGATACTCGCAGGTGTGCAAGTGTACTTGGTTGCTGTGCTTGCCAAGGTTGCACACTTGGTTGTAGAGGTGGCTACGGGTCATGTTCTGGATGCAGCACTGGGGATCACAAGGGTAGCGCCAAGTCAGGGACTGCGCTCAGTAATGTGGGGGCAATCGTAGAGGTAGAACTTGTAGTCACACACTCAACAGGCAGGCTCTCTGCCAATGAATCAAATGCCCATGCTCTACTTTCTTTACATGTATTTAAAAGCATTACCCCAGTTAATCTTCACCTCGACTCTATGAAGCAATATCATGCTTATTTTATAGCTGAAGAAACAGAGGCTCAGAGAAAATAAATACCTTGTTAGGGTCTCATATCAAGTAACTGGGAGAGCCAATATACAAAAGAAACATTTGTTTGCTTCAATGCATTTGAATTATACTGTAACTCAGGAAGAGACTGAAAAAAAAATTGAAGAAAAACAAAACATATAAAAAAAAGCCAATGCAAGTACACAGGGCAGAGTATTTGCCTTGCATAAGTTTGACCCAACTTCAATCCATGGAACTCCAAATGGTCCCGAATCCTACCAGGAGTGATCCCTGAGTGCAGAGCCAGGAGAAAGATGGTGTGCCCCCACGCCACCCCTGCAAAAAATATCCCCAAATATTAAGAGATTGAGAGTACACTAAAAAGTATTTTTTTCTCAGAAAGATAATTTCAAAGAAGAATAAAATTGTTTTGTGTTCTTTGAGCCATACCCATTAGTGCTTAGGGGTTATTCCTAACTTTTTGCTCAGGATTTACTCCCGGCAGTGCTCAGGGAACCTTTTATGGTATCAGAAATCTAACTGGGGTCAGAAGTATGCAAGGCCAGCATCTTACCTCCTGTACTCTCTCTCTAGCCAGAATAAATTTGAAAATAAGGATGTTCTTATTTTGTATATCACAAAGATTGTGAATGAGAAAACTATTACTTCCAAGTTGTCTTTTATAAAAAGACTTTTTAATTAGAATTGAATAAAAAAAAGATCAAGACCATCAGTTTTTATAAAATGTACCTAAAGCAGCGCCCCAGAGGGGGACAGGTGAGAGCCCTTCTGCCCTGGTAGGCGAAAATCTCCAGAATTCAATTGCTGCCACGCTCACGGCCACTCTCCACATGCTTGGGCCAAGACTCACCCATGAGTGAACCCCTAGAAAACCCAAGTATGTGGAACTTTGTGACTGAGAACTCTGGGTAAAACGGGACTGGGAATAGAAGTCCTCTGCCCCATGCCCACTCCCAGGCTCCTCCATCTCCAGCAATTCAGCAGTCACATCCATAAGCCACCCCTGACTGGCCCCAGATAATCTCGTCATTGGCCACCACCCAGAACGTATGTCCTTCTCTTCCGGAAGGGAGCATAACATGACGCTGCCAGAACCATTCTGCTGGACCCCATGCCAGGCTGTTTCACTTGGGGCGCCCCAAAGGGAGGTGGGTGAGAGCGCTCCCTGCCCCAAAGGACCCAGCCCAGCAGCCGAAAACCTCCAGAAGTCAACTGCTGCCATGCTCATGGCTGCTCTCCACATGCTGGGGCTGAGCCTCACCCACAGGTGAACATTTTCCTTGCCTGTGCAGCCTCAAATCGCACTTCATAGGACACATTCTACCCATACTCCAAGAGTACTGTACCACATTTGATGGGATTTAAAGTAGGAGGCAACCAACCTTAGATGGAAATATTGTATTATTTCGGTTCTGCCTTGGGGCAGGGATTGGGGTTTGGGACGAAAATACCCGAAATGTGGTGGGAAGGTGTAATGGTGGTGGGATTGGTGTTTGAATATTAAATGTAATCAAATATTGTGAACTACTTTATAAAACTAGAAAAAAAGGAGAGGGAAGTACAAACAGATGCCATTGGACTGCGCTAGCATGCAACAGGGATGAATGGAGACATTACTGGCACCCGCTTGAGTAAATTGATGAATAATGGGGATCAAGTGATCAAGTGATAAATAATAACAAAAAAATTAAAGTTATCATTTAATGAAGTAATCATGATTATGGGAACTATTGTATGTACAGAGTTTAAAACACTAAAATTACAGTAACAGTTTAAAAGCTTCAAAAATTATTTTAAACAGTTACATATACATTCCTACTTACCTTGGTTTGTCTCTTTTTTCTCTTTGTCTTTCAAAGTCTCGTCCTCTGTCCTTCCCATCTCTTGTTCTTTCATCTATCCTGTCTTTTACTTTGTACTTTTCTTTGTATTTCTTCCCCAGAGCAATGTCTTCTGGTATAGGAGGGGGTGGACTAGGAGTTCGAGGTCCTTTCTTTTTACTTTGATTGCTTTTTGAATTCCTGATGTAACACAAAGTTATAATTAGAGGTTCATACAGTTTTGGAAAATCAAATTGATATTTTAAAAATCTCAACAATGACTTTAAAAAAATTTAATAGACTGCAGAGAAAAGATAAATGGGTACGGGGCCTGCCTTACATTCAGTTGACCCAGGTTTGGTCAACTGAATGTAAGCACCACTCTGGGCACTGCCAAGAATAAATCACCTGCAGGTGTGCTTCCCGCTAAAAAGCAATGAATTCTTTCAACACTTACTTTCTATTATTTGTATACTAGCAACATCCAGGAAAAAAAGAAATTTTATTACTTGTTTTAATATTATGTAGAAGTTTTATCCGAGGATTGAGGAAGAAGAAACTTTTTAACCTATGATTCCACTATCCAAGGATAAATACTGTTAACACTTCGGTATTTATCTGTACTTTTTTCATGTCTTCTCACCCACTCTAGTCTTATTCTTTCCCCATCCCTCTCTATCTCTTAGAAGTGTGCATGCATGTGTACATGCATGCGTGTGCATGCATGGCTCCTATATCTTAATCATAAAGATCAAAAAATATCAATGAACAAAGTTCTAGAACAGTTGGTACACATAAATTGAAGTCTTCTTGAGTCTTACTTAAAAGCTCTTTCCAACTTTTAAAATTACAAAAACAGTCCCCTCCAAATTCTAGAATTGTGTTACCTGATACTTAACTGAGCGTGATCTGACATATAAATTATACTCTTAATTTGATTAGTAATTTTACTTAGTGTCATAACTTGAGCCCTCACATATTCAAAACTGTACTTCCCTCAGAAATGAACAACAGTTTGACTAAAGCAGTTTGGACTCAATATCCTTTGTCCTCAGAACAGTGTTTAGAACCCTAAGTGAAAATTTTGAGGGTTAAATTTTTTCATATGAATGTTAACTTTTTATTCCTGAGATTCTTATAAAACATTTACTTAGAAATAAAAAATCCAGGCAATCATTTCTGCCCAGAGGGGAAAGGGTGTTGCTCCCTTCCGCCCTCCTCCCTCTGGAAAGAAAGATGGCAGCCACATGGGGGCCTTGTGGACAGCAGGTATGAGCCGGGGGTGTGGGGGCGACTAAAACCTCATGGGAAGGGGGGCGTTCTGGTCCGTCCTTCACGCCCTACCGAGGTCACCAGTTGCCCCCCACGAGCGGCTCTCCAGCACAGCCACGGCCCCAGAAGCACAAGGACTTAATGCAGAACCCAGCAGCTTGGAGCAGAAAAGTGAACGGACTATGCATTGATCCAGGCCATCAAGTCTGCCGGAGGGGAAAGGGTGTTGCCCCATTCGCCCTCTCCTCTCTGGAAAGAAAGATGGCGGCCACATGGGAGCCTTGTGGACAGCAGGTATGAGCCGGGAGTGTGGGGGCGACTAAAACCTCATGGGAAGGGGGGCGTTCCGGTCCGTCCTTCACGCCCTACCGAGGTCACCAGTTGCCCCCCACGAGCGGCTCTCCAGCACGGCCACAGCCCCAGAAGCACAAGGGCTTAATGCAGAACCCAGCAGCTTGGAGCAGAAAAGTGAACGGACTATGCATTGATCCAGGCCATCAAGTCTGCCGGAGGGGAAAGGGTGTTGCCCCATTCGCCCTCTCCTCTTTGGAAAGAAAGATGGCGGCCACATGGGAGCCTTGTGGACAGCAGGTATGAGCCGGGAGTGTGGGGGCGACTAAAACCTCATGGGAAGGGGGGCGTTTCGGTCCGCCCTTCACGCCCTACCGAGGCCACCAGTTGCCCCCACGAGCGGCTCTCCAGCACGGCCACAGCCCCAGAAGCACAATGACCTAATGCAGAACCCAGCAGCTTGGAGCAGAAAAGTGAAAGGACTATGCGTTAATCCAGGCAATCATTTCTGCCCAGAGGGGAAAGGGTGTTGCTCCCTTCCGCCCTCCTCCCTCTGGAAAGAAAGATGGCGGCCACATGGGAGCCTTGTGGACAGCAGGTATGAGCCGGGGGTGTGGGGGCGACTAAAACCTCATGGGAAGGGGGGCGTTCTGGTCCGTCCTTCACGCCCTACCGAGGTCACCAGTTGCCCCCCGCGAGTGGCTCTCCAGCACGGCCACGGCCCCAGAAGCACAAGGACTTAATGCAGAACCCAGCAGCTTGGAGCAGAAAAGTGAACAGACTCTGCATTGATCCAGGCCATCAAGTCTGCCGGAGGGGAAAGGGTGTTGCCCCATTCGCCCTCTCCTCTCTGGAAAAAAAGATGGCGGCCACATGGGAGCCTTGTGGACAGCAGGTATGAGCCGGGAGTGTGGGGGCGACTAAAACCTCATGGGAAGGGGGGCGTTTCGGTCCGCCCTTCACGCCCTACCGAGGCCACCGGTTGCCCCCCGTGAGCGGCTCTCCAGCACGGCCAGGACTCCAGAACACAGAAACCAATTTCTTAACTATCTGACTTTCAGTAGAAATACTTCCAGGGTCAATAGGTAAAAGAGCAGAAATCCAAAACCAACATTTAATTCTTGAACCCAGCCGTAGAAAGCAAATCACTTCACAATGCTTTTTCAGCATGTCTGATTTGGGGGGGGGGGGGGGGGTAAACTCTAAATAATAGTGGTGAATCTTTTATTGAAACAATGAATCTAATCAAAGCAGATAGAGTGTTAACTAGAATTCATCTGCTTCACAGGGACGGGGAGGGGTGGGGGGTGGGGTTTTCTTGGGGTTCTTCATGGTAAAAAATAAGTATTGGTAAAGGGAAATGTGTTTGATATTTGCATGACTGAGACATAAACCTGAAAGCTTTGTAACCTTTCCCACAGTGATTCAATAAATAAATTTAAAAAAAAAATAAAATAAAAAAAAATAAAAAAAAAAAAAGAAATAAAAAAATTGCACTGTCTTTTTTTTCTTTTCTTTTTGAGGGGAGGGCATTCATAGTGAGCTCAGGGCTTCTTTGGAGCTCTCGGGGATCACTCATGGCAGGGCCTGGGGGTCAGGTGCAGTGATGGAACCTAGGTCAGCCATGAGAAGGCAAGCACCCTCTCCCACACTATCACTTTGGCCCCTGGTTTTCTTTTTAATGGAAAACAAATATACTACAATTTTACTGCAGTTACAGTGTTCTGACATACCTAAAGGTTAGAATTTAAAGTTCATTCATTTTTTAAAAAATCTAAAGTGACTGCATGTTATTTAAAGTTTCAGGGGTGTAAAATTCAACATATGTATTTAAGAGTGCACTTGCATCTTTTATAATTACGCTTTACCCAATTTGCCAATTCTGTTCTCCCTTTCCTTTTGATACACTGAATTGAATTTTTAGCCTAAAAGTTGATTTTTGTTTCCTTTAGCTTATCTGTTTGTTTTCTCTGTATACCAAGAGTCAAATCCCATGTTCTATTTACTTTCATTAGTTGAGCAATATTTTGTTTTTTATATATGTATACACACACACACCCACACACACATACACATACACAATCTCTTTTCATCTGCCTGTTGATGAGCACTGAGGCTGCACCCAGCTCTTAAATACTGGCAATAATGCTGCAATAAACAGAGTGAAACATAATATCTCTTCAAATTTACATTTTTGTATACGTCAGGTAGATATATAAAGTGTGATAACTGGACTGTAGAAAAGTTCTAGTTTTAGTTTCTTTGAGGAATCTCTATACCAATAAATTATAGTTTCTTCATGTTGTTTTCATATATTTTTATGTGGCTAGAAAATACAATTATGTCACTGATTATGTGAGCTTTTAAGATTCAAAATCAATTTTGCAAATTCTGACATTAACAAGCTCTTCTAAGATTTTTTAAATTAATTCATTACTTTTTTAGACTCTATATCCTATTTGTGTGAAATAGTTCAGTTATCTAATTTTGTCTTGCTTGTGTTAGTGGGGGCACACACAGTACAGCTCAAAGGCCATTCCTGGCTATGTTCAGGAATAACTCCTGGTGGGGCTTGGGGGAGACAATATGCAGTGCTGGGGATCAAACCAGGGTGGGCTGCATGGAGGGCAAGCACCAACAGGTTTAAATCCTTTCTCTCTTTTCTCTCTCCAAAACTATTTCTTTAGAACTGCTTTTACTTTTAATACATAGCTTTGTACAAATAGTTATAAATGAAATAGCTTAGTCTAATTTAAGTTAAGAAACAGTTCAGCTGCACATAACAGATAATACATTTGCTGATCTTAAGTCACACTGTTTCTTATATCAGCCTGAGCGTACTATAAGGCTGTATGTTATAATAAATGTCAAAGGAAACTGCCAACTTTCAGGGAGAAGTGTGAATTTTTTCAGTAATTATCTCTGCCGACCAAGTAAGATCAAGATGTTTGTTTACCTATTTGTCATCTCCAGTGACTTACTGGCATTGGCTGTACGCCACAATTTTAACTGAAATTCTAATCCTTACTTCTTGCTTAATATGTCTTCAGGCAGTTTGAAGTACAATCTAGAACTGAAATTTAAAGCTGATCTGACATACATTAGTTAATGTAAATGTAATGAAATAAAGAACTGTCATTCTCAATGTTTTCTTTGTATCCTTACTCAATATTCAAGTAAATATTCATGATAATCATCAAAAATATGTGAGCTACTAACAAAGCAGCAAGACTATATGAAAGACAACAGAATGAATCTATTAATCTAAATATCAAAAATTTTAGTGAAGAGGTAAATTTCAGAAGTTTTTAAACAGGAAGCTAAAAAAAATTTTTTTAAAGAGCAAGAGTAATAGTACAGAGGGTAGGATTCTTGTCTTGCTTGTGGCAGACCTGAGTCCAATCTCTAGCATCCCATACAATCCCCAGAGCCCTGCCAGGAATGATCCCTGGCCCAGCTGTGTGTGCCTCGCTTCCAAAAAATATTTTTAAAGGGTATCATACACTGTTACCTTAAGGGAAAATTAATGAAACTGAAAGTAACAGGTAAAGTAAAAAGGATACAAAGCAAACTGGATTCGATCACTCTACTGTTCATTGTCTTCCACAGTCCTTTGCATATTTTACAAGAATAATAAACCAGAGCATCAAGTCAACTTTTAAAAGGAGATTATTATAATGAATCTGCACAGCAAAGCCTGGCAAACTCCCGTGGCGTATTCAATATGCCAAAAATAGTAACAACAAGTCTGACAATGGAGATGTTACTGGTGCTTGCTCAAGCAAACTGATGAACAATGGGAGGACAGTGCTATTGTAATGAATAAAGATGTTAGAAATCGATGCTATGAGAAGACAGAACCATGAACCATGAAGATCCCAATCTCCGTAACATGCATGGCACATTTAAAATAGAATGTAAACAGTAATTTTAAGAACGAAGCATAAATTTAGTATATACATGTCCTCCCATCATTGTTCATTGATTTGCTCCAGCGGGCCCAGTAATGTCTCCATTTTGAGATCTGTTGTTACTGTGTTTGGCATACTGAATACGTCACCGGTAGCTTGCCAGGCTTTGCCACGTGGGCGAGATACTCTCAGTAGCTTGCTGGGCTTTCTGAGAGGGGCGGAGGAATTGAACCTGGCTCAGCCGGGCTGGCTGCGCGCAAGACAAATGCCCTACCGCTGTGCTATCGCTCCAGCATAAAGGGGTAATATTATGTTTGTTATGGAATAAATTGGAAAACTTAAGGAAGACAGAAATTTGAAAGACTAAAGGAGGAGACAACTGGAGATTGTCAAATGACACAAAATATGGTCATGAAGTATTGCTATATATATAGAGAGAGAGAGAGAAAGAGAGAGAGAGAGAGACTTGTAGTTATATAATGTAGAAAATGTTAGGCTAAAAAGAAAGCTACAAAAGAATATTATATATCTGTACTGGGGTTAAGCAGATTGTTGGGGACCCAGCTCAACGGTAAAGCACACTCGTTGCAGGTGTGAGGCCCTGAAATTGATCGCTGACATCTAAATTTCTTAATTAATGAGGCTGGTGCTATAAAATTAAAATAAAACATATTATGAAAGCATTAATTCACATCTATAAACATAAAGACCAAACTTAAGAGAAAGGGTTAAGAACTGTGTCACTGTTTTTGTGGTGGGAAGTGAAAACAGGCTATATTCTAAGTAAGTTTTATTCAAAAAATAAACAAAAGGTTCTGAAACATATGTGTGAGACTAGACAGTTGTGTCATTTATACTCTATAATGAAACTGAATCATTAACAACCTGTCCTCAATCCCTAGATGGATTTTTAGAAGTAAAAGGCATACATTAAATACAGAATGTATTGAAAGTATTCTTTAGTAACCTACTCTTTTGAATATCACTTTAGAAAAAGTGATTTCATTCTGTCACGACTGATCACCCTACTGACCTCTGCTGGTCCAACAAGGGAGAAGACACTGCAGTTGTTTTTCTGTCTTTCTTGTTTGCAGATAACGATGACTTAGGACTTGATTTTCTCTTTGGAGATTTGCTAGACTTCCTCAGAGAAGGTGATGGAGACAATTTTGATCTGACCATTTCAGGTGAAACCTTCAAAAGCATTCAGTAAAATAATCAGAAACTCCACAAATCATGATTAATAGAGGGCAACAAAACATGTTCCCTTGTTAAGAAACAAATAAGAATATTAAGTGTTCTAATAGCCACGATGCATTAAAATCAGTATGACTCCTGAATTCACACTTTTAACCAATATACTTAATTCCCTAACACAAGACTAATCTATGTATCAGAAAATACAATATTCTGGAAATAGACAGGGTCTATGAAAGACCTAATTTGAATACCATTTAATATGAGCTGATTACTCTAGGCAATAAAACCTCAGTTTTATACACAAATAGAATAGCAAAGAAATTTGTAATTCTCTACTAGGGTAATAAGAAGATTAAATAACATATATGAAGTGGCTGATATACACTAAGTTGTTCAATATAGGAATAATAATATAAGGTTTAACAAGCAACTTCTAAGTATAGATTGCTATAAATCATTAACATATATTAACATATTTCAATATACAGCATACCTCCTTTTTAATAATAATTTCTTCTCGCTTCTCCATATTTTCTTGTTCCAACTTCATTAATTCCCTCTGTATTTTCTGACGCTTCATTTCCAGTGACAATTCATGAACATAATCATAATTAATATCTCCATTGTCAGAATCTTAAAAAAAATTTCAATCAGAAATTATATTTTCTACATGAAAAAATTTGAACAATTTTCAACTATTTTTTTCATAAATTTAATTGGAAGGTTCTTTGATTAGAATAGATTCTTTGATTGGTTTCTTAAGAAAAAGCCACAAAGAAAGTTCCTGGGCTTTCTGATAGTATTACTGGATGGGCTGGATATTGGAATTTTTGTAGAAGATGAGAATTTTAAAGAATACAGTTAAAAAAACTCAGCTGTAAATTCTAACCATTAAAGATAACAAAGCTTTAATGTTTCATGCTGATATGAAAAAAATTATCCTCTTAATTTTCTTAAAAATTCATTAGTATTAAATAAAAGATGTTAGTTATAAAATACTATTCTCGTAGTTTAGTGGTATGAGTAATTAATTTGTACCTAAAACTAAAGGTAAAGGAAATTTTGTTTTTTTGTTTTTTGGACCACACCAGTAGTGCTGCTCAGTGCTGACTCTAAGGCCTTACTCTTGGCTCTGTGCTCAGGGATCAGTCCTAGTGGTGCTCAGACATACAAGGTGCAGGGACTCAAACCTAGGTTGGCCATGTGGCAGTTAAGTGCCCTACCTGCTATATTATCTCTCTGGCCCCAGTAAATAATTTTTCTCGATAACAAAAAATTTATACAATCTGAAGAGAATCAGAATATATCATTAACCAACTTCAATACTGTGTACATGAGTTGACTACTAAAGAACTGGTAACACTTCATTACAAGTGATGTGTACTAACTTCTTAGAAAAGTCCGTCTCTAGAGAATCTTATACCATGTCAATTTCCATTCATCTTCTCAAATGTGAAGAAATAAAGGCTGATTAAGCTTAAAATATGAAATTTAAAAACTGGCATAAAGAGTCACTTCATTACAAGGTGGATTTCAGTTCCTTTGTATTCCTACTCAACCCCTTGCTCTCCTTTGCTATTTATACAAAGCCTGAAAGAAGGAATCTCATTTCTTACATAGAAGGGGGGCCTCCCTTGATCACAAATTGCTGTGTCTTCTAAGTAGTCCTTTGCTGAGTCATAACAAAGACATCATTGTTATATATTGTTTAAATACACTAAAGTGCCAACTGCCCATTCATGACCACAGGAACTGAGAGACTAGCACCAAGCTATCTGACTGATACTCACCTTTATTGAAATATAATGACTATTTCTCAGTAAATATATATGATAATCACACATTTTAGTTGAAGGAATTACTAAATACTTAAAGGCATATAATTTTATAAAATAGCTGCAAACAACCCCTGTGCATCGCCAGGTATGACCCAAAAAGCAAAAAAAAAAAAAATTAAAAAATAAAATAAAATAAAATAGCTGCAAACAAATGAATATAATTAAATTATAGCTATCTCTATAGTTAGTTTTGTACTCCACTGAGGCACCTTTATTTAAGTGAATAATCAGATTCAACTATCTGGTAATTATGTAGCTAAATTAGTTAAAAATAAAAATTTGGGACTGGAGAGATAGATAGTATTGTGGGTAAGCTGATACGGGTTCAGTTCCCAGCACCACATATGATTCCTTGAGCACTACTATGAGGGATCCTTGAACACAGAGCCAGGAGTCAGCCCTAAGCACCGCTCAGTATAGACCTAAATAAAGCAAATAATAAAATAATAATAAAACTTCATAACCAAAACTTAAGTGCAAAAAAATCCAAACCTTAAATTATCGAGAGGCTAAGAAGGACAGTACTGCAGGTAGGTCTTCTGCCTAGACTGCAGCCAACCCAGATTATACCCCTGGCATCTCCCTGAGCACTGCCAGGAATAATCCCTAAGAGCAGCACCAGTAGTAACCTCTGAAGGGTATGTGGGGTATACCCCCCAAATAAATAAGAACTAATTTGAGAAAAATTCATTTGAGAAAAATAATCAAAGGAATATCAACAATCCAGGGGTCAGAGTGATAATACAGTAGGTAGGGCATTTCCTTGTCTGTGGCTGACCTGGGTTCAATCCCTGGCACCCCATATGGTCCTCCAAGCATCACCAGGAGTAATTCCTGAGTGCAGAGGAAAGAGTAACCCCTGAGCATCAGTGATATGGCTCCAAAATAAAGCAAACAAAACCCTTGCTATTTGGAAAACAACCAATCCAGAACACATGTAAGAAATTAGAAATTAGCTCTCAGTAACCGAAATATACCCAATCAAGGCGGAAGCCTGAGTAGTTAAATACATGTTAGGACATTGGTGGAAAGTCTTGGGCACTTTGGTGGCAATGAAGGAACTGTGGACATTAATGCCACAAATTCTAGGAGTCAGCTGGAGTGGCAGAACAGTGAGTAGGGTGCTTGGCCTTCATATGGTTAAACTGAGTTTGACATCCAGCATCCAATATGGTTCTCTGAACCTGCCAGGAGTGATGCCTAAACATAGAGCCAGGAGTAAGCCCTGAGCACTACATGTGGACCAAAAATAATTTTTTAAATTTATACACATAAAAAGAGCTCAAATGACTAAGATGCTGTTCAATAAAGGGGAGAAACTGGAATGTTAAAAAAAAAAATTAAAAAGCAGTGTGAATAGTTTCCTCATCCTTTGTATTACTACTATATCCTACTCTCTACTATATAAAACCAGCAAAGTAGAAACAAGTCAGTAAAATGATTATGAAACAAAAAGACATCACAACTGAAAGTGCATTAACACCCACAAAAGTACACAGGCTGAATAATCAATTGTAAAAATAGGAATTTGTATAACTCACCATCTCTAGTTGTTTCCCACTCTACATTTTCTTCTTCACTTTCAGGAGTTCTCTCCTTAGTGATCTTTATGTCTTCCTTTTCTCTATGTCTTCCTCTTGAAGATTCTTTCTAAAAAGTACATACATATGCAGAGATTACTGAACTTTTAAAAACTGTTCGAGCAATTCTTTTTGGGGGAGGAGTGGAGGAGTGGGGAGACACCAGCAGTGCTCAGGGCTTAATCCTGGCTCTGCACTCAAGAATCACTTCGGGCAGGTCCAGGAGACCAATTAGCATATAGGGCGCCTGGGATGAAACCAGGTCAGCTGCATGCAAGGTAAGTGTTCTAACTGCTGGACTCTCTCTCTGACCCTGTATGAACAATTCTTGCAATATAGAATATGTCTAACTTCATCTGTCTCAAAAAAAAAAAAAAAAAACACTAAAAAGAGGAAGTGAGGGGCTGGAGCGATAGCACAGCAGGTAGGGCGTTTGCCTTGCACGTGGCCAGCCCGGGTTTAATTCCCAGCATCCCGTATGGTCCCCCGAGCACAGCCAGGACTAAGTCCTGAGTGCATGAGCCAGGAGTAACCCCTGTGCATTGCCTGTTGTGACCCAAAAAAGTAAAAAGTAAAAAAAAAAAAAAAAGAGGAAGTAACAATTTCTAGTTTAGTACAACAAGTAGACTATATACTAAAGGACAACCATTAAGTAAAAGTAAAGAATTAACCTTAAAAATATACAACATGGGGCTGGAGCAATAGCACAAGCGGGTAGGGCGTTTGCCTTGCACTAGGCTGACCCGGGTTCAATTCCCAGCATCCACATGGTCCCCTGAGCACCACTAGAAGTAGTTCCTGAGTGCAGAGCCAGAAGTAACCTCTGTGCATCATTTGGCAGGTATGACCCAAAAAGAAGAAAAATGCAACATAATTCTAATACTTAACCACTGAACTATCCATGGCATACCAGGATTCTACCAAGATTCTATGTGAAAGTTATAAAAGTTGGTAAAAAAAAAAGAAAGGATAAAACACAAAAGAAGTTTTTGATTATATTGAAAATGACCCCAAAAGGGTTACACCATTTACAGTAGATTCTCAATTATCATTGGTAATCTAAGACTTGTTAGTCAGTAACAGCATTTTCCAACATCCTTTAAATTAAGTACAAACTCGTTTAATCCTCATGGAGTCAGGGATTTGGCTTAGTGGTAGACTCCTGTTGATTCTGAGCACTGGGGCAATAAAAAAACAATTATGTAGGAAAATGCTTTTATAAGAAGAGATTATCCTCTATTTTGATTAAACAAAAAAATAGCAAATATGTTTAGAAACTTTGTTCTTGTATTGAAGTTAAAATGTATTCCATGTTTAACAGTAGCCTATAGACAAAATAGGACAACAGTATTCAGCTTATAAAGCTTATTTGCAAGGAAATGCCAGGAACTGCAACTTATAAGCTTAATTAAATATTTTATTAAACAAGATAAATATTATAAACCACAGTAACAAAATCAACTAACTCATACATGATATACATTGTTACTTCACATCGTGGCATCTTTTATTTGCAGTCTAAAACCAGACTATGAAAGATACTAATACACAAGAACAGTTAAGTGCTAAAATTTCTTTTGGGTTATTACCAGACATAAAATATGGCTGCTTAAAACAAATTATTTCCTCGTTGAAGTCTTCTCTAAAGATATCTATTATATGACAGAATTAGGTATGAAAACAGTTTGCACTGATACAATGGTTGCTGATAAGATGACTGAAGTTGACAAAAATCATTTAAAAATTACCAAACAGGAAAAAAAAGAACTTGCCATTTATATAGCACAAAAGAAAGAATGCAATTTATTCTTATATTTAAAAAATATTCAGTAGAACACTAATAAAAAACTATTCTATATCCCACACAGCTTTTGAAAAGTTCTTACTGATTAAACCCACTAAAAAGCTAGTATATATTAAATTAAAAATAATAAACTGTGTGTTCCCGCTCAAGTACCAAGTAGTATCCAACTATAATTTAGTTGAAAAATGTTAAGAGCAGCAGTGCTGGTACTGAAAAATAAATTATCTGCACATTTCTAACAGTACACTTTAGAATCAGAAATGTTAAAATCAATTTCACCACGTTTATGTGAGTAATTAATATTTACCCTAAATAGCAACAATAAACATTTTTTAACTCTTATTTTTCAACATGACTCTGAATCTACCCTCAGAGAACACATAAAATTTCTATTAAAAACTACTAGATGCTAAATACAGGCTTCAATAAGTTTTTTTGTTTCCGGTTAAAAGATACATTTTCTGGGGTTGGACAGATATTACAGTGAGTAGGACGTTTGCCTTCCATGTGGCCAACCTGAGTTTGATCTCTGGCATCCCATACTCTCTCCTGAGCACTGCCAGAAGAGAACACTAAGCAGAGAGCTAGGAGTAAGCTCAAAGCCCCACCAGAATGAAGAAACAAAAGGGCTACTGCTTAAGGTGAGGGGGAGAAGGAGTGGGAAGGAAGGAGGTACATTTTCTTTCTAATGTTTTCATACTATCCTGACTCAGATCTTATTATAGGAAGTTACTGTGATAACACTTCAGGTTATTTTTAAAATGTCACATTTTCTCATTTTCTCAATTTCAACAGAAATCATTCCTATGTCATGTAGGTATTTCTTCCTTTCTCTTTTCATGATTAAGTAAGCAAGGTCTGGTACTACTTGTCATGTACAGCTGCATAGACTGCAATCTCACCTTCCTGTATTCTAGAGAAGAATGGCTGACCATCTAAATTTTCTTAAAAGAAAACATATTACTTAAAAGTACAGCCAATTGATTATAGTGTATTCTAGATTAGTCATCCCGGACCATGAACATCTTGATATATTTGCTAAAAATCACAATATTTAAGCCAGTGCCCTTGTGATAAGATCAAGTATCAGGAGCAGCAGGCAAGACAGAACAGTGGGTAAATCTCACTTGTCTTGCAGGCGGCCAACCCAGGTTTGATCCCTAGAACCCCATGGGTTTCTGGAGTCCCACCAGGAGTGGTCCAAAAAAAAAAAACAAACCAGAGAGAGAGAGAGAGAGAGGAGAGAGAGAGAGAAAGAGAAAGAGAAAGAGAAAGAGAGAGAGAGAGAGAGAGAGAGAGAGAGAGAGAGAGAGAGAGAGTCATAGAATTCAGACTTTTTTTGAATCTCTAAGAAAAGAGACAGCACCAGTAAGGTTTGTAGGTTTGTAGAAATAACCTGTGATTAAACATAACATGATTTCTAAGTCTCCTGACCCCGCGCCTGGCTGTCTTCGTGGGGGTCCCTCGGACGGGGGTGGGTTGAGTTTCCCTCCCCGTCCCGAGCAGAGCCCGGGCAGTGCCCCGAAGACCTCCGGAACCAGCCACAACCATGCTGAGACCACCCTCCACACGCATGAAGGGTAGTACCAGCAGAGAGGAACAAAGGCATGCGGGTCCCAGGGCTGAGATCTCCAAGCCTACTCGGATCAGGGCTGAGCATCCTCCACCCAGATCCTCCATCTTCCAGTTGGCGGGGGTCACTCCCACCAACTGACCCCCAGCGCCGAGTAATCCCATCAAGACAGCCAAGACCCAGACACTATAAAACCCAGCTCCCGGAAGCGCGCGGCCACATTCGCGGCCGCACGGCATCTTATTATCTCATTCTTGCTTTGACAACCTGGCAGGCCACTGAGTGTAGCCTGCCCACGCGGCAGAGTCTGGCAAACTCCCCGTGGCGTACCCAATATGCCAAATACCAGCAACAATGATGGGTCTCATTCTGCTAACCCTGAAAGAGCCACAAAGAATGTGGCACTTTTTATAATCTCAGGGCTAAGACAAAGGAGACGTTACTGGTGCCTGCTGGAGGCAATCGACGAACAGGATGATCATGATCGTGATCGTGATTATTTCTAAAACAAAACATGAATTCATTGCTGGTTAAAATTTGTGTCAGTAAAGGTCAACTTTTGCTACCAAATAAATCTATAACTTTGGAAAATGTTTTTAAAAGTTTCTTACCTATCACCAATAAGTATTAAAAATGTTCACTTTAAAATGCTTATGCTTTATTACTATTTCATCTTTATAGCTTAGGCACTATATACATGGGTGGCTTAAATTCATTATGAATTGCATTTTTAAATAGTGAGGGATATTTACATAGTAAAATATTGCATAAAAACAAGTTCTGAAGCAGAAAAAACAAGTTATAACAGCTTTTATAGACTACTATAAAAGTCTATAAAAAAAGTATATATACCACTACTATCACAGCTACTTTAGTAACGAGAATTAAATGTATATGTCTATAAAAAATGAACAAACTTGGACAAACTTGCAGGCTATCGAATGTAGCCTGCCCACAGGGCAGAGTCTGGCAAACTCCCCGTGGCGTACCAAATATGCCAAATACCAGTAACAATGATGGGTCTCATTCTCCTAAAGAGCCTTGAATATAATCTCAGGGCTAGGATGAAAGAGACATTACTGGGGCCTGCTCGAGGCAATCGACGAATAACAGGATGATGAAATGAAAAAATGAAAAATAAAAAATGAAAACTAATTTTTACCAGCATGTAAAAGAATATATCTAATAGTTATGGAAGTCCTCTTTTTAAAAGAATTTCAGAGGAAAAAAAATTCTCAATGTCTCTACAGATAGTTTTTCAAAGTAACAGACATTCACATCCATTTCAAACAATTCTAATTGTTAGAAAATTCCTTTTCACCTCTTCCTTAAACCTTTCCAGAATATCTTTATTGGAACTATTTTTGACCTTTTCAGTGACAACAATCTAATACTTTTGAAAAAGATATATTTGAACTATATACTAAAGCTCTCCCTAGTAACACTTATACCAGTCTTAAGAGAACCTACATACCTTACATACTGATTATTCATTAACACTGTATGATTCATATACGTCCCACCACTGTCATCTTCTCTGTGCTTTAGTAAGATGTGATATTTAAAATTAACCTCCTCTTATGAGAGAACACATTAGTATATAGCTAATGCAGTATGTTTCAGAGCTTCAAAATTTCAAGGTCAGGAGATTTACTCACACTGAAATCACCACCATACTGGAAATACTAGCTAATGTAATAAAAAGAAAAAAAAATGTATGCAGAGAATGAAAAATTGTCTTTGTATATGAGATGCTTTATCTTTAGAAATTCTAAATGAATTACCAATTCTAGGAAATTATAAGTAATAGTGAGGTTTGGGGACAAAAGATTAACATGCAAAAGCTAGTCACTTTCCTACAGAAGTGAAATTAGAGGGATGAGGAAATAGTTCAAGTAGTGAAGCATGTAAGTAGTATGTTCACCACTAGAGTGGTGCTAATGGCCCCAAAGTTCCACTCAGAGTGAACTTAGCCCACGGAACACCACCAGGATGGTCCAACAACAAGTGTAAAACCAAGTGAACAAACTAAACAGAATTAAATAAAGCCCTTTTTGGACAGGAAGATTTAGTACCATTAAAAGCCAGTTCTTCCTAACTTCACTTATAAATTAATATAACCTCGATCAAAATTCCATTATTTTCTGGACACAGACGAACTGATTCTAAAAAGTAAGTGAAAAGGCAGGAGACTCAGAATATCAGAATAACCACCACAAAAGTAAGGAAGACAAGGCCCAGAATGTGGCTCAGTGGTAAAGCACATGCCTTGATATGTTATGGCTGAATCTGATCCTAGGTACAAGGTCCCCCTGAGCCTCACCAAGTATGACTCTAGCGACCCGAGTATTGACCCCCTAGACTAAGCACCAAAATACTAGGATCACTGTCATATCAAGCATCACCAGAAAGGACCCTATTTTTTTTTTTAAGTCATTACCCTGCAGCACTGTAGCACTGTCCTCCCATTGTTCTTCGATTTGCTCGAGCAGGCACCAGTAACATCTCCATTGTGAGAATTGTCGTTACTGTTTTTGGCATATCAAACATACTACGTCACAGGTAGCTTGCCAGGCTTTGCCATGTGGGCAGGATACTTGCCGGCAGAATACTCTCGGTAGCTAGCCAGGCTCTCTGAGAGGGGCAGAGGAATCAAACCTGGGTCAGCCGCGTGCAAAGCAAACGCCCTAGCCGCTGTGCTATCGCTCCAGCCCTCATTACCCTATATAAGATAATCTAGATTTCCTTTTTTATCAAATGGCTATCAAACTATTTTAGCACCATTTGTTGAAAAAATGATCTTTCCTTTCAAAACCAGAATCATCTTTGTTTATCTTACATCTGTTGGTTTTATTTTCATGGGTCTATTTTGTGCTAGGGCTTCAATACATCAAGTCCAATACATCAGGATCCTCCGTAAGCTGTATTGCGGATTTACTACCAGGATCTCACCATTCTACAAAGAAGTGATCGTTGATGTCAAGAGAGGGGTGCGGCAGGGTGATACCATTTCACCGAAACTCTTCAGTGCCACCCTCGAGAACATCATGCGACGACTGGAATGGGAAGGAATGGGAGTGAAGATAGATGGTCGGCAACTACACCACCTCCGCTTTGCTGATGACATTGTTTTAATAACACCAAACATCAGCCAAGCGGCACAAATGCTGGCCGACTTTGACCGTGAGTGTGGAAAGGTAGGACTACAGCTGAATCTCACGAAGACAATGTTTATGAGAAACAGCCTCGTTCCTGACGCCCCATTCGCTCTCAATGGAACGACCATCTCCGAATGCAACAGCTATGTATACCTAGGTCGAGAGGTCAACATGACAAATGACCTGGCACCCGAGCTGCGCAGGAGGAAGAGAGCGGCTTGGAATGCCTTCAAGAACGTCGAAGAAATAGCTAAGAGGACAAAGAACCTCTGGCTCCGGGCACATCTCTTTGATTCCACTGTTCTTCCTGCATTAACATATGCCTCAGAGACCTGGGCCCTACGCAAACAAGATGAGAACGCTATTCAGGTCTCCCAAAGAAGAATAGAAAGAGCTATGCTTGGAATATCACGTTTCACTCAAATGAGAGAAAGAATCCGGAGTTCTGACATCCGTCGACGATCAAGAATCAGGGAGGCTGTCTCTTTTGCCAAGGTGTCGAAAATCAGATGGGCTGGTCACGTAATGAGATTTAAAGACGACCGCTGGACTAGAGCTGTTACCGACTGGATTCCACGGGATGTCAAAAGACCGCGTGGCCGCCCACTTACCAGATGGTCAGACTTCTTCGTCAAGATCATGAACGATCGGTTTGAGGCCCTTCATGTTCCCGGAGCGAACAGATGCCATTGGGCTACACTAGCACGCGACAGGGACAAATGGAGACGTTACTGGCGCCCGCTGGAGCAAATCGACGACTAACGGGAAGTTAAGTGATTAAGTGTGATTTTGTGCTCTCTATCCAATTTATCTGCGTACTTTCACCAATACCACACAATGTATTTATCAGCTTAGCTTTATTTGTAGACCCTGGCTTTGTATAGTGCCAACTGTGCTAAAGATTTTATAGATAAAATACAAAAGAAACAATTCATTAAAGAAAGAATAAAATGAACTTTAGAGGATTGCAAATTAAGACCACAAAACATTGCTACACAGTTTCTACACTAGCCAAAATCTAGAATACTAATAATCAGGACTGGGGCAATAGCACAGCGGGTAGGGCATTTGCCTTGCATGTGAACAGGTGAATGACCTGGGTTTGATTCCCAGCATCCCATAGGGTCCCCCGAGAACTGCCAGGAGTAATTCCTGAGTAACTGCATGAGCTAGGATTAACCCCTGTGAAATGCTGGGTGTAACCCAAAAAATAAATAAATAAATAAAAATAAAAGAAACAGAATACTGATTAACCAAATTAGCAAAGATACAGAGTAATTGACTTCATCACATTGCGTGTGAGAATACAAAATACAGTAACTTTATGAGACAGTTTCTTATAAAAACAAATGCACTCTAACCGTACAATCTTAAAATCACATTCCTTGGTACTTGTTGTGTTAAAAATGTATTATGCAAAAACTGCTCACAGATATTTATAGCATCCTCCACCCCTCTCGGAGAGCCCGGCAAGCTACCGAGAGTATTCGATATGCCAGACACAGTAACAACAAAGTCTCCAATGGAGACGTTACTGGGCCCGCTCGAGCAAATCGACGATCAACGGGAGGGCCTTTACTTTACTTTACTCATAATTGGCCAAACTTGAAAGCAACCAAGATATCCACTCATATATAAACAAATAACAGAGTAACAGCATTTTTATTTTATTTTTTAAGGAGCTACCAAGCAAAATAAGTAAAAAAAGACAAACATAAAACATCTGAATTCATGTGTGAGCTATTTAAAAAAATAAAAATAAAAAAAGCACACAGAACCAAACCAAATATTGGATTCTGACTGCAAAACTGAATTTACCAGAGGGGAGAGGAGTCAGAGTACAGGAGGTTTGCTGGACTGTGGTGGAAGAATATAGGTACTTTGGTGGTAGGTATAATTAATATACATACATCTTAAGAAGTCTGAAACCATATTCCTCAAATGCAGTGCTACAAATTACCTGAATTTTAAAATTAAGACATAAGCTATGAAGTCATAAAGTGAGTTTAAGCAGAATTTTAAGTGACTATTACTAAAAGAAAGAAGTAATCTACAAAGGTTACATTATCTATGATTCTAACTGTACATTCTGGAAAAGACAAATGTCAACATTAAAGAGATAAGTGGTTACCAAAAAATGGAGAGAAGAGGAAGAATAGAAAAGGCAAAGAGAATTTTTGGTTTGTTTAATAGTTACATACAGTAGTGCTCAGGAATCACTTCTGGGGTGGTCAGGGGTGCCAGGAAGGACTGAACTAGTCTTGGCCACTTGCAAGGTAAACAACTTAACCCTGTATTATCTTTCCAGCTCTAGAGAGAATGTTTTTTGTTGTTTTTTTCTGGGTCTCACTGGGCAATGCTCAGGAGTTACCCCTGGCTCTGCACTCAGGAATTACTCCTGGCGGTGCTCGGGGGGACCATATGGGATGCTGGGAATCGAACCCCGGTCAGCCACGTACAAGGCAAACGCCCTACCTGCTGTGCTATCGCTCCAGCCCCACTAGAGAAAATTTTTAAGAGAGTGAAAATATTCTGTTTGATTCAGATCATTATGTTTCAATAATTCCATAACAAACCACTAATAAAATTTAATATAACTTTGGTAAATTGATTCCTACCCTAACTGGTGAGGACGACTCCTCTGCATTTCGTTTCTGAGAATCAGCATCCACATCTTGACGCTTGTTCTTCATTCTTTCTCTAAGATCTCCAGTAGGTCTTTCTGGTGACCTATGAGCCAAACAACAAAAACAGTCAAAAATCTGACTTCTGTAACATTTTATGAGAATATAAAAAATACTCTTACACATCTCAACATAATCTTCTCATCATAGGTCCTAAAGTTCAAAAACTACTTAGTTTAAATATTATTATGCAAAACACATGAGTGTCACGTATAAGTTTACAACTAATACCTATCAATATATAATCGTTAAAATTCTATAAGGTGGCATACTGATTAATAACAGCCTGTATCTGAGTTAAATTTGTAAAATTAACAAGTTAATTTGCTTTCCCACTAATCACAAATTTACTTTTAAAAATGTAGCACTGTAGTGGGCTGGAGCGATAGCCATGGGTAAGGCATTAGCTTTGCACATGGCTGACATGGCCGACCTGGGTTCGATTCCTCCGCTCCTCTCGGAGAGCCCAGCAAGCTACCGAGAGTATCTCACCCGCATGGTAGAGCCTGGCAAGCTCCTCATGACATTTCAATATGCCAAAAACAGTAACAAGTCTCACAATTTGTTGTGAGACATTACTGGTGCCTGCTCTACCAAATCGATGAACAACTGTCCTCCCATTGTTCATCGATTTGCTCGAGGGAGCACCTGTAATGTCTCCATTGTGATACTTGTAACTGTGTTTGGCATATCTAATACGCCACACGGAGCTTGCCAGGCTCGGCCATGCGGGCGGGATACTCTCGGTAGCTTACCGGGCTCTTCAAGAGGGACGGAGTAATCGAACCCAGGTCTGCTGCGTGCAAGGCAAACGTGCAAGGCGAACCCAGGTCTGCTGCGTGCAAGGCAAACGCCCTACCCACTGTGAAACAGTGACCAAAATACAAAGACAGTCTACAGAATGGGAAAGAATATTCGCCGAATACACATCTGACAGGGGGTTGATATCAAGGATATACAAAATACTTGTTGAACTCCACAAGAAGAAAACATCCAACCCCATCCAAAAATGGGTCAATGAAATGAACAGAAACTTTCTCAAAGAAGAAATCCGAATGGCAAAAAAGCACATGAGAAAATGCTCTACATCATTAATCATCAGGGAGATGCAGATCAAAACCACAATGAGATACCATCTCACACCTCAGAGATTGGCCCACATTCAAAAGAACAAAAGCAACCAATGCTGGCGTGGATGTGGCGAGAAAGGGACACTCCTTCACTGTTGGTGGGAATGTCCACTGGTTCAGCCCTTCTGGACAACAGTATGGACGATTCTCCAAAAATTAGAAATTGAGCTCCCATTTGACCCAGCAATACCACTCCTGGGAATATATCCCAGAGAGGCAAAAATGTATAGTCGAAGTGACATCTGCACTTGTTTGTTCGTTGCAGCACTCTTTACAATAGCCAGAAACTGGAAGAAACCTGAATGCCCAAGAACAGATGACTGGTTAAAGAAACTTTGGTACATCTACACAATGGAGTACTATGTAGCTGTTAGAAAAGATGAAGTCATGAAATTTACATACAAGTGGTACAACATGGAGAGTATCATGCTAAGCGAAATAAGTCAGAAAGAGAGGGATAGACATAGAAAGACTGCATTCATCTGGGGGATATAAAGTAACAAAATATGAGATTAATACCCACGAATAGCTGAGATCAGCACCAGGAGGATTACTCCATAGCTTAGAGACCAGCCAGGCATTCTAGGGGAAAGGGCAGCTCAGATAGAGAAGGGAGCACTAAATAAAGGGTGTTTGGAGGATCCTCCCAGGAGGGGAGATGCATGTCGAAAGTAGACTATGGACTGAACATGTTTGCCACTCAATGCCTCTTTTGCAGACCACAACACCCAAAAGAAGAGAGAGAACACAAGGGATTGCCCTGCCACAGAGGCAGGGTGGGATGGGGGGGATGGGGGTGGGGGGGATATTATCCATGGTGGTGGAAAATGGGCACTGGTGGAGGGATGGGTATTTGATCATTGTATAATCGAAACCCAAGCACAAAAAATTGTAAATCTACAACTGTACCTCATGGTGTTTCACTAATAAAAAAAAGAGAAAAAACTGCTTTATACCACTTTGATATATTAGCTCAGAAACAATAATGTAATCTACATAATTATGTGGTTTCATATGACATCAAAACACAAGAAAATATAATTTTCTATAATTCTGGTAGCTCTCAACTTTTTTTTTGTTTTTAATTTTTATTAGTGAGACACCATGAGGTACAGTTGTAGACTTACAAATTTTTGTGCTTGAGTTTCAATTATACAATGATCAAATACCCATCCCTCCACCAGTGCCCATTTCCCACCAGCACGGATCCCAGTATCCCTCCCACCCCCCATCCTCTCCATCCCACCTGCCTCTGTGGCAGGGCATTCCCCTCTGTTCTCTCTCTCCTTTGGGGTGTTGTGGTTTGCAAAAGTGCTAACTCTCAACTCTTAAAACTAAATGTATTATAAAATAATTTTGTAAAAAGAATTTTAAAGCTACAGAGTTTAGATAATGCATCGATGTAAGACCATCAATTTTAAGCACACAGATAAATTTAAAATAAAATATATATTGTAAGTTACCACTAATATTTGGTTTTGTGAAATATATTCTTACCCTCCTCAACTCATAAAGGATGAAAATGACTCCTTCTCAACTCACAAAAATAAATTTAATTAATATTATTTCAGAATAGAAAGTTTTAAAAAAGCTAATTTTGACCACCAAAAAAAATTTTATTACTTTTTTCAAAAGATAATGAAGTACATAAATACTGATAACTATTTTAAGTAAAGTTGATCAACCAACTCAATTCCTTTAACATTTTTTACATGGTTGATGAGAAGTTTCAATCAATGTGCACTGAACACATAAAAATTCAAATTAATAAAAATATTAATGTTCTGTTGTAATACTGGTAGCACAGCCAAAGAAATCAGCACATCACAAGCAATTTTATTATTTTTTATTGACTCACCATTATATAGTTACAAAGCTTTCATGATTGATTTTCAGTCATACAATGGTCGAACACCCATCCCTCTACCAGTGTCCAGTTTCCACCACTAATGGCCCCAGTATCTCTCCCGCCCCTCCCCCACCCCACCCCACCCCACCCCGACTCTATGGCAATTTCCTTCTTATTTGCTCCCTTCTTTTGAGCATTATGGTTTGCAATAGATACTGAGAGGCCATCATGTTTGGTCCTTTATCTACTTTGGGCACGTATCTCCCATCCCAAGAAATCCCTCTAACCACCATTGACTTAGTGATCCCTTCTCTATTGTAGCTGCCTTCCCCCCCCCCCCCCCGCCCCCACCCCACCCCGGCTCGTGAGGCAGGTTTCCTGGCTCTTGTCTCTACTGTCCCTGGGTGTTAGTCTCATATTATGCTACTTTATATTCCACAAATGAGTGCAGTCATCCTGTGCCTGTCCTCCTCTGACTCATTTCACTTAGCATGATACTCTTCATATACACCCACTTATAAGCAAATTTCATAACTTCATCTTCCCTAACAGCTACATAGTATTCCATCGTGTAAATGTACCATGATTTCTTTAACCAGTCATCTGTTCTCTGGCACTTGGGTTGTTTTCCAGATTCTGGCTATTGTAAAAGAATGCTGCAATGAACGTACAGGTGCAGGTGTCATTTTTACTGTGTTCTTTTGCATCCCCGGGGTATATTCCCAGAAGTGGTATTGCTCCGTGATATGGAAGCCCAGTTTCTAGTTTTTTGAGGTATGTTCATATTGTTTTCCAGAACGACTGGACGAGTCACCATTACCACCATTACCACGAACAATGAAATAGTGTCCTATTCTCCACACATCCCTACCAGCACTGGTTGTTCTTATTCTCTTTGATGTGCATCAGTCTCTGTGGTGTAAAATAGTATCTCATTGTTGTTTTAATTTGCATCTCCCTGATGATTAGTGATGTAGAACACTTTTTCATGCGCCTTTTGGCCATTTGTATTAATTTTTTGATGGGATTGGAAGTTTTTTCCTTGCACAGTTCTACTAATGTCTTTTATATCTTGGATATTAACCCCTTATCTGATGGGTACTGGGTAAATAATTTTTCCTATCCATTGGGCTTTCTCTGTATTTCGGTCACTATTTCTCTTGAGGTGCAGAAGCGTCTTAGTTTAATATAGTCCCGTTTGTTCATGTTTGTTTCCACTTGCTTGGTCAGTGGTGTTTCATCCTTAAGGATGCCTTTAGCTTCCAAGTCATGGAGGGTTCTACCTACATTTTCCTCCATGTACCTTAGGGATTCAGGTCTAATATTGAGGCCTTTAATCCACTTTGATCTGAGTTTTGTACCTGGCATTAGACAGAGGTCTGAGTTTATTTTTTTTTGTGTAGCTGTCTTAGTTTTCCTAGCACCATTTGTTGAAGAGGCTTTTCTTGCTCCACTTCACATTTCTTGCTCCTTTATCAAAGCTGAAGTGATCATATATTTGAGTCTGTGACAGAGTATTCAACTCTGTCCACTGATCTGCAGGTCTGTTTCTATTCCAGTATCATACTGTTTTAATTAATGTTGCTTTGTAGTACAGTTTGAAGTTGGGGCAGGTGATGCCACCCATCTTCTTTTTCCCAATGATCGCTTTAGCTATGGGGGTGGGGGGTAGAGGGAGTGAACTTCAAGAGTGTTTTATCTATTTCTTTGAAAAATGTCATGGGTATCTTTACAGGGACCACACTGAATCTGTATGTTCTGGGGAGTATTGCCATTTGGACAATGTTAATCCTCCTGATCCATGAGCAGAGGCTATGTTTCCATTTCCTAGAGTCCTCTTTTATTTCTTGAAGCAGTGTTTTGTAATTTTCTTTGTATAGGTCCTTTACTTCTTTAGTTAAGTTGATTCCGAGGTACTTAATTTTCTGAGGCACTATTGTGCACGGGATCGTTTTTTAAACATCTCCTTCTTTTCTTTCATTATTTGTAGACAGGAAAGCCATGGACTTTTGGGTGTTGATTTTGTAGGCTGCCACTTTACTAATCTACTGTATCTAGGAGCTTTTTTGTAGTCTTTAGAAGTTTCTTAGTATCATGTCATCCACAAATAGTGATAGCATGCCTCGCCCTTGATATTTTTCTTGCCTAACTACTATGGCAAGAACTTCTAATACTATATTGAATAGAAGTGGTAAGAGTGGGCAACTTGTCTTGTCCCCGATCTTAGAGGGAAGGCTTTTAGTTTCTACCCATCAAGAATAATACTTGCTATAGGCTTGTGGTAGATGGCTCTGACTATACTGAAGAAAGCTTCTTCAATTTCCATTTTGTTGAGAGTTTTTAACATGAACGTGTGTGTTTGCTGGATCTTCACAAGCAATTTTAGAACTAAGCAAATAATCTGCTTACCAATTAAGTTAAAACTGTTTTTTGTGATCATAGAAATCACAACTTTAAGCACCATAATAAAATTATGTTAATGAAATAAAAATGAAAGTTTTTTTATTAGGAAAGGTTAACCTGTTTTTTATTAAAGGCAAAACTGATATACTAAAGAGGCACTATGTTTTATCCACACATAAATATATTCATTTAAGTTGCGATATTTAGCAAATTCATTTTCATCTACAGAGCTGCCTTAGATTGTGCTTTGTCATTAAAATAGAAATTTTGAAAATCTTGAGCTAAAATTGTATCTCATTTAAATTTTAATATTTTGAGGGTTAAAAGTAATTTCTCACACACACAAAAAACCCCATAAAATTCTGCTGCCTGAAGTAGCAATTTACTAGGTATCTAGGGTAAATACATTTATTTATCAAATCAAGTAAATGCTGAAAGTTAATTTTAAAGCAAACTAACTTATTAATTTTGATATGCTGATCTTGCCCTCCCACTAAGAGGCATCCACCACAGACTACATGGTTGCATTTGATTCTTATACTAATTAAAATCTTCCTATGGTACAAGAAAATTTCAAAACGCGTACCTTCTATAATTGCTGCTATAACCTTTACCACGCGGTGAAGGGCCATGTACGAATCTACATGTATTTCCATAGAGACAGTTGCCAGTCTTCAGCCAGTTACGACACTGTGTCTAAGAGAGAGATGTTTACATTTACTTATGGGAAAAAAGATTTTAGTGAGACAAAATTAAAAGAAATTATAGCCCCTCCCCTATTCCAGTTATCCTGATATATAACTTCCCAAAAAAACATAAACATCAAAGCAAAAGAGGAAAAATAATTGCTCCACTCATTTCCATGAAACAAATTTGAAAACATTTATGAACCAACATTCTTAATTTTATTTTTTTGCTTTTCGGGTCACACCCGGCAATGCACAGGGGTTACTCATGGTACTCAGGAAACACTCCTGGTGGTGCTCAAGGGACCATATGGGATTCCGGAAATCGAACCGGGGTCGGCAAATGCCCTACCCTCTGTGCTATTGCTCCAGCCCCGGAACCAACATTCCTGAAAGAGTCTGTTTACCTTTGTAAATCAGAGTGTCAAGACAGAATTGTATTTATGTGACTGTGTGTGACTATTATTAATGACAACTTACCTCTGCTGTACTGCCAGTGCTTGGTCCAAGCCTCTCAAATACACTGGGCCTTCGGGATGTACTATCAGATATGGTCTTGGTATTTTCCACTGTAACCTTTCTTCTAATTTTTGACATTTTGTACTACCCTAACCAGAAGAGAGAAGCAAAACTGTAAAATTCCTCATTTTTAAATAACTGAGTTAACAGCTTACAAGTAACTAAAATTATAGGTACATTGCAAAAGTATAATGGATTATCCTTGGGAAAAGAAAGTTTAAGAAGTCAGAGGTAAACAAAAGTTATCTTCTAAGATACTACAGCTTTTAAATCTGTTAACTAGAATTTCACCTTTCGTACAGAGTGAAAAAAGATTTTAATCACAATTGTTTCCACAGTATTTATTGAACCTCAAGTAACACATTATAAAGTATTTCATTCCTAAACTCCTTGTAAAAGTTGTCCCAAAAATTAATAGTTACATTTTAGGAAAGAGTTGTGCTAGAACTTTCTATCAATTGGCTATCTGTAAAAGTTAAAAGAAAAAATAGGGAAAATAAAATCAGGCATTTTATTGATAATAGAAATCATGCTTTATGTAGTTTAAGCAGCAATAAATAGTTATGCTCTAAGGACCAGTTTAGAAGAAAAATAAACATTTATGTTTTTGTCTTACAAAGACCAAAGAGCAGTCTTAAAAGAATATTTATTTTCCAAAAACAGAGTGCTTTCCTTGTACTTGGCTTACCTAGGTTCAATCCCTAGCACCTTATGTGGTCCCCTGAGCCCACCAAGAGTTATCTTTTGGCCCAGGGCCAGTAGTAAGTCCCGGGTACAATTAGGTGTGCAACAAACAAATAAAAACTAATGTTGATAAAAATTAGTTTCTTCAAGTGACTGAAGGTAACAGAACTGAAGAGTTGGTTCAAGAACTTAGCAAGGTGGGTAGGGGTGAGAGGGACAGGAAGGGGAAAAGGAGGGGCATTTGGGAGGAAGTGTATACCTTGGTAGTAGATGTGGTGTTGAAATGAAGTATGCAAGAAACTCTCATTAACAGTATTGAAAATCACCTTGATAAAGATAAAAAATAAATAAAAATGGGTTTCTTTCAAAATAGACTGTAGAATTAGATAAAGCCAACATGTTTCTATAACCTATACAATAATGAAATAAAAGTCAAAGGTCAAGTAATGAACAAGCTATCTTATCTTTATCATAACTAGACAAATTATTTTTAAAAATTACAAAATAAAGCACTGAAACTAAAACCATAAAAGAAACAAAACCATACATAAAATCAGGTGATTCAACTGAAAATAAAAATTTCAGGAAACAGTATGATTTGCATTAGAAATCAATATTAAATTCTAGAGACTAGAATGACCTAAAGAATACACAATCACTGTAAGCGGACAGAAAGTGGGAAGTAGACAGAAAATGCCTAGGAGAGCTAATTCATACCACCACTTATACAATCTAAAAATTAGTTTTTTTTATCAATTATCTTTAAATTACAAAAATGAATAATTGCAGCTGAAGAAATTGAAGTTTCACTTAGCATAATCAGCACAGAATTGGTATATTTAGAGTTCACAGACATGCTTTAATATGTTTTCAAAGTAAAGGCAAATCACTAGACAGGTAGTTAAATCATGGTAGTATTAAATCTTAAAAAATACGTAAAATTATGGGGGGGTTTAATTAGGTATTACTTTCAAGTCACTGGGTGGTGGGGGAGAGTGGGCGATGAGGTCACACTCAGCAGTGCTGAGCTCTACTACCAGCAGTTTTAGGGGGACCATGTACTGACAGGTACAGAACCCAGGTTTCCCAAAACATGTGCTCAACCCATTGTACTTGAGGTTTTCTCCTGGCTCTGCGCTCAGGGATCACTAGAGCCTTTTAGTCAAGACAATATGTGGTACAAGGAACCAAAGTCAGGTCAGCTGCATACAAGACAAGCATCTTACCTGCTTTACTATCTACCTCTCAGGCCCAGAGTAAAATTTATGGATATCTGCTTTACTGAAAACAAAGAACTAAAGAGTTATATGAGGCTGAGAAAATTCTCCTAGAACTCAGAAACAAACACAACATTCCACCATAACTGTCTCAAGAAGACTAAGTGAAACCTTAACATTTTCTCTTCCACTGCTAATGCAAACATTTGGTTCTGCAACCAAAATAAATTACTCCCAATATACCCCACTCCCAACACATCTGCCTTTAAAAAAAACTAGTAATACTGTTTTCCACAGTTGAAGCAATAAGCCATTACAATACTAAAAATCCCAAGCAGTCATCATTATCTCTCTTTTCAATGTTTTCCTGAGGGTTCCAAATACTGGTTTTCTTATTGGTCTGAAACCTGTTGCTTGGATGAGCACTTACTTCTCTCCTTATCTGCTAACCCTATTGTTAGAAAGCATGGTGTTACAGCCTCTCTTCAATGTTCTATCTAGTCCTAGGATAAGCAAGGACAGCAGAGCACGTCAGGGTGCTTGCCTTGCAGATGAGAAACCTGTATTCAGTACCCCATATAGTCCTTGAGTCCAGCCAGGAATGAATCCTGAGTACAGTGAAGTATGGCCCAAAGAGTCTTCCTATTTGTGGTAGAATAGTAATGAAGAATTCTGATCATCTAGGAATTTTTATCAGTACTCAAAAAGTTATCTATTGCCCAAAGCTGTTTTTCCTGGAGCAAGCGGCCAACCAGTCAACCAAAAGCTTGCATTCGGTAGACTGGGAACACGCGTAAAAGCGATCAGAGGCCGCCCCAAACACCTCCATCCCTATCGGACAGCCCAGCAAACTACCGAGAGTATTTCGCCCACACAGCAGAGCCTGGCAAGCTACCCGTGGCATATTCGATATGCCAATAACAGTAACAACTACGGGTCTCATTCCCCTGACCCTGAAAGAGTTCCCAAATATTCCATTGGGCTATGCTACCATGCGACAGGAACAAATGGGAGTCGTTACTGGCGCCTGCTCAAGCAAATCGATGATCAACAGGATGACAAGTGACTCAAAAAGTTATCTAAGTATAATGATGATTTAGCGGGTAGGGCGTCTGCCTTGCATGCAGCCAACATGGCCGACCCCAGTTCGATTCCTCCGCCCCTCTCGGAGAGCCCGGCAAGCTACCGAGAGTATTTGATATGCCAGACACAGTAACAACAAAGTCTCCAATGGAGACGTTACTGGTCCCGCTCGAGCAAATCAATGATCAACGGGAGGGCCTTAGATAAAATAGTTTATGTTTGCAAAAAATACTATACTTTAAATCCTAGTAGTCTAAATATATAAAATTTATTATACTCCCTCAAAAAAAGCATATAATCATATTAATTTAAAACTACTCTCACTAATGTTGTATGATCTGATCCAAAATTTCTATCTAAAAGATTTGTTCCACAAGGGGCAATAAATAACATCAGAATGTGATTAAGGGGGCATTTTAAGATATGTGAAAAGTTAAAATTTAAGTCTTCCCTATATTGGAGTTTGGCTGTTTTTCTTGCGGTTCTGTTTTAAAATACTCTCTAGTTTTAAGAATACCCACTTACTGCTCTGTTTCCCCCACTCTAGGATTATGAAAGTGAGAGTGACACTGTTAACAGTCCGTTGAGTTTTTTCCCCATTTCTCCCATCCATTTGCAGAATAAATGTTTCTACTACCTCTTTAAAACAAAGATTGATTTTATTGAAACACAAAAGTTCTCAATGAATGAGAACTATCCCTCCCTGTGGATAAATATTCCTGTGTACTTTTATTTCATACACTTTAATGCACTGAGGCTCTAAAAAAGGGTCACACAAAATTTTTCAAGTGAAAGATTATTTGGTGCATAGCCAACCTGTGAGGATTTTTTAAAGAACTTTCTAAACAAACCTTGCAGACTGCTGCTATACAGCAGACCTAAAAAATCCCAAATTAACTGAGAGAACTGAGCGAACTATATAGGAATGAGCAAAACTAGATTGTTGCATTATGGGGGGGGGATGTAAAAGACTAGGCACTAAGAATAACATATCATGCATAAACCAAGTGCAATATATCAAACTTCAAAAAAAGAGATCAAACCACACTTTGCAAGTCAACAAGTTAGTTTCAACTGCTACTAAATATCCAATGAAACAAACAAGTTCCATCCTTTTGAAATGCATAAAGTACTTTTGGGAAGATGCAAGAAAACATTCTGAAAGTCAACTCTTCAAATATATACAAATTAAACCATTTTTCTTTCCATACGTACATGCATACTGTAACACAAATTAGCATTACTAACATTAATTTTCCAATAACTTCATAAAAATTTAAATGGCACAAGCCATTTAAGTACAAAATTTAAATGGCTTGTGCCATTTAAATTTAGTATAAATACAAAAATCTGTAAGTTTTTTTTAAAAAACTGTTAATTTTTAAATTAACAAATATAAAAGTTAGAAGTAACTGCAAATTTCAAAATATATTCACTCAAAATGCAGGAAGAGTTGTGGTATTTGATAGAACCGAATCCTAACAAGAGGGCTACTTGCAAGGTGTGGCTGTTTTTACAGATGCAAATGTATACACAGCAGCACCAAGAGTCCTAGTCTTGTGTTAAAGCTGTCATATATAATATAACTGCCACTTAAAAACTCGGAATGTGTGCAAAGTTACGGGTATGTCGACAAAATACCCTAGGAATACTTTATTACGCACTAGAGCCAGTAATTTCCCATGAGACTCGGGCTAAGCGACACCATCTACACACAGATTAGCACTGTGTAAACCCTAGGGGATTTCCTGCATGTGGCCCGGACTTTGAAAACTCGGGCGGCGATCGTCTTTTCCCAACTTCCCAAGAAGCCAAAGGCCCGAAGAAGGGACTGCGCAAACCCACCCATTTTCAAAAGCAGTTCAAAGGATTCTGAATTATCTCACAGGCATAACAGAATAGCTTATGAGACGCCGCCCCGCAAACAAGATCCTAGGGATACGGCTCAAGGAGTGTCAACGCTAAATAAAAGGTTAGCATTGGTGTTTGGGGGAAGGGGGGTGTTGCCAAAAAAAAAATTCGTTTAGCCTTTCGAAATATTCGCCCCCTTCCTTTCAGGCCCCCCCCAACCCAGCCCTGCCCGAAAGAGTTGCCAAACGTAACCAAGTAGGGAAAGCGCCAGCCGCTCAGGTAAAGCTCTCCAACTCCCAGACTCTAAGTGGGAAAAGAACCACGGAGGTGAAAAAGCAAGACCCTAAAAGAAGCGCAGAGAGGTGCGTAATGCAAAAGAAAAAAAGGGGGTGAGTATACAAATCCAAGCCCAGATTCCTGCACCCTTTTCATTGCACACAAATGCAAGGATGCCCAAGTCCACGAAGGCGACCCCAGTAGCCTTCGGTCCGATTCCACTAGGGCTCTTGGGGGGGGGGGGGTGAAAAATCAAAAACCTCTCCAGAACCTGAAGCCCCTGGTCTACCGCGGCGTTTCTGGGCGGGAGGAGCTCCGGATCTCGGGGTGGGTGGCCCGAGAGGAGATGAAGGAAGACTCCGGGCCGCGCCCTACCTGGCGCGTCCGCCAAACGCCTTCTGCCCCTCCGCCCGACGCTCACAGCCGCTCTCCCGGAACGCTTACCTCCTCCCGGAATTCCCTTCGCCAAGAGCAAGGTGGAGGGGCCGCCGCCGCCCCGGGGAGCGGGGGAGGCGACTCTCGGTCCCCGCGCCCGGCCCCGGGACGACGGCGAGGGGAAGGGGCACGCGCGGCTCCCGGGAAGCGGCCTGGGGCCAGCCGGGGGCCCTCGGGGGTGGCTGACGAGAGGCCGCCGCCCGCCGCTTGGCCAGGGTCAAGCAGACATCGACGTGTGTGAGGAAAGGGGTGGTGGGGAAGAAGAAGACGGACAGAGGCGAGAGCCGAAAATGATGATTATAACGAAAACACTCCCAGGCCGCTAGACGCTGGCCTCCAAATGCCACCGGAAGTCGAGGGTTAGCCCTGTTCCTCGGTAGATCAAAGCCGCTTCCGGCCCCGAGATTAGTCGTCAGCGTGTAGGCACCGCCCCTTCGTGGACACGCCCCCTCCGGGGGT